GGGAGATACATTTGCACTTGTATAACATTTAGACCACCTCCTGAAGTGGTTAGAAAGAACTGCTCATTTGCCAGAATGGCAAAGCAAAACCCCCATGTGACAGCAAAGGACCTGCAGGAAGGTTTAGCTGACACAGGAGTGGTGGTGCACTGTTCAACTGGGGAGTGCTGCTTGCACAAACATGGTATGTATGGAAGGAAGAGTCATCGAAAGGAAATCTTATCCTCATTACAAAAGTCAACGTCTACAATATGCAAAACATTATCTAGATAAGACAGAGGTGTGGACAGTAACCCAGAACATGCTTCAAAGTCCACCATGAACTTGCATTCTGCAAGTAAGAGTGGGTAAAAAAATTTCTAAAGCAAGAAATGAAAAACTCCTACCTGGCTTTTGCAAGGTGTGATATCTACCAAAGGGGGTGTTACTAAGTATTTACTTAGTAGGATGTCCTACTAACCATGCAGTAATGTGCAAAAATAATTTTTAAAAATAGTTTCCTGCAGAGGTTGTTTTTACTTCTTTTCATCAAAACATATAAGTGGACCACTTTTCTCACTTAATGCTTGGAATAATTACTAGTCATAATGCTGTCTAAGAGTCTCGTTAGGGAAATAAACTAAAATGTCTGTGTAGTAATTAGACTGGTGCAGGGCTAGCTGGGCATCATCTTGAGAGAAGCAAAAATGACCACAGAAAATCCACAAGTACAAGTGGAAAACATGAGTGCATTGTCGTCATGATCTAAAGTGCAGGTGTTGGCCAAGGAGGGGTTTGTGTGTTTGTGGAGTCGCCATTAAACCCTAAAGCTCCATGGGTGATCTGTAGCTCTGTGCATACACTTTAGTGCTATGGCCTATATGTTTAAAATCCTGACCTACAGACCCACAGTGTTCTCGTATTATTAGCTGGATGTGTTCCAGCTGTTGTTTGAGCTGTAGAGAGCTGGCAGAGCCTAGCAGGCCTTGTGTTGAACCACCTTCTAATTTTTTTTATTAATTTATTTATTAGAATTGTGTGATCAGTTTTGCAGAGAGCTGCCAAATCAAAGAGAGTCTATGTCCAAAATGCCGCAAGTAAACATCATGAAAGGTATTGATTTTGAGCTTTTTGTGAAGCCTATTAAAAAAGCTGGGCCAGTACTCATAAAGCATTTACCATAAAAGTCCTGATATGCGATGGGATTTACTGCCTTTTATACAAACCTGTTGCTTCATGATCAAGCACCTGATTTGGGAACAGCACTTCCGTGATTGTTTCACTGTGTCTGAATTGATGTGTATATGCACCTATATGTCCTTTTTTGTGCACCAGTATTATAACAAATCAAACATAACACTTTGCACTAAGCAGAATCTTTGAATTGCATCTAAGTTAGTGGTTAGCTAATTTTGGCAAATTTAAAGAAATAGTCAAACACTAATAAGTTTGTGTAGAATTAGTTAGTGAAAGACAAAGACATCTCTCTGACATTTGAAATTTCAAACTGCAGTGGCTCTGATGGCTACTCTTATGTATGTACCGTGACATGCAAAAGTTTGGGCTCTTGGGTCACAATTTCTGTTACTGTGAATAGCTAAGCGAGTAAAAGATGACCTGATTTCCAAAAGGAATCAATTTAAAGATCAAAAGATCAAAAAAGAAAAAAGGCCAGAAGCAAAAGGTTGCACACCCTGTATGGTCAGTACTTAGTAACGCCCCATTTGGCAAGTATCACAGCTTGTAAATACATTTTGTAGCCATCTAAGAGTCTTTCCATTTTTGCTTGAGGAATTTTCACCCATTATTCCTTGCAAAAGACTTCTAGTTCTGTGAGATTCTTGGGCGGTCTTGCATACACTCCTCCTTTGAGGTCTGTTCACAGATTTTTGATGACATTTAGGTTAGGGGACTCTTGAGGCAGTAAATTGTGGATTTCGAGGTGTGTTTAGGATCATTATCCTGTTGTAGAAGCCATTCTCTTCTCATCTTTAGCTTTTTAATATTTTAATTTCATCAGTCCACAGGACTTTTTTCCAAATGTTCTTTTGCAAACTTCTGATGCTGATGGTTTTGTGGTGAGGTAAAACAGTAAAACAGTTCACCACTACTCCAGAGTCTGGTAAATCTTAATGAAGGTCTTCTGCAGTCAAACGGGGGGTTTGATTTGTTATTATCCTAAGGGCAGTTATCTCAAAGTTTTTATGGTCTCCTAGACCTCAACTTGACCTCAACCCTTTCTGTTAACTGCCATTTCTCAATCATATTATGAACTGAAGAAACAGCTACCTGAAAATACTTTATCTTCTTGTAGCTTTCTCCTGCTTTGTGGGCATCAGTTATTTTAATTTTCAGTGCTAGGCAGGTGCTTAGAGGAGCCCATGGCAGCTGATGATTGGGACAAGGTTTGAAGAGTCAGAGTATTTTGTAAGTTATTTGAGAGCTCAAACATCTTGGGTCCCCAAACTTTTTCTTGGTGATCCTTTCCTTTTTTCACTCTAAAATTTTACAAATCAAAAATCATCTTGCTTGAAATGTTCAAAAAGCATGTTTCGTCTTTAGCCTTATGCCGTTTGGAGATCAGTTCTTCACCTCTCTTAATAATTCACACCAACAGAAATGTAGACCAGGGGTGGCCAAACTTTCACATGCCTCTGTACTTATATTTGTGAAAGAGACTTTGTGAAGTATTGTGTGCCACTGAGAATTAGGCTTAATTATCACCAGTGGGACAAAACTGGACTCTTGACCTCTCTCTACATTGTGGGACTGCAGGCTCTGGGTTACAAAACAGTGGATGTTTATCATGAAAATGTCTATCATGGTCCGTTTCCCTGAAGATTAATAGTCGCTCATAACAAGGAGCTTCTCAGAGCACTGTATTATTGAACCTCTGAGAGAACATTGTTGCCAACTGGAAAGAGGCACTTTTCTTTTCCTCTATTCATCTTCTACTGAGGCACAGACTGTACGAGAAACACAGAAGAACTGATGGTCTTTGTGCATATTCGTATTTATGTGATACTTGAAGTTATTTCTGTGTTCCTTGGTCAGATAGACTCTTATTCTTTGTCCAAGATGGTAGATTCAAGTGGGTGGGGAGATACCCCCTTTTTTTTCTTTTTCTTCAAATTGCTACAGTAATGGTTTGTGACAATTTGCAGGTATGGTGCATAATTTCAATTCGTTAGTGTCAGTGCCCTAATGAGGAAAGTGCAAATCAAATAAACTAGACTAATGAAATGTCTGAAATCTCCAGCTGCTTTCAAAAGTGCTAGGTCCTTGAGTGTTGCTGAAAATAATCATCTTGATTTGGATTTCTGTTGAGTGACAAAGTGAACCCAAAGATTTGAGCGATCATAAATAAAGCTAAAATGAACATGTGACATCACCAGTTCTGTCCTGGTTAATTTATGGTTATAAAAGAAGGACTAGACTGAGCAAAAACAGGGCTTTTTCATGAATCATTCTCTGTGAAAGTCAGTTCCAGTTCCCTGGCTTGTATATTTGTTGTTTGAAATTAACAACAACGTGTGCACGTATTGTAACAACATCTCTGTATGGGGCTTTGTCCTTTAATATATTCCATTGCTTGTGAATGCTGCTTTATAAATATGTTATTTAGTGCTTATGAATGTGTTATAAGGTCCTTTGGTTTGGTAGCCTTTAAAGAATGAGTTCTTAAATTCATTATAACCGTAGTTATATGACAGTTTATAGTAACCTAGAGGATAATACACATTATACATAAGTTTATAGTTTTTTTATATGACAGGTTCATTACTGTATTTTTCATTATAGCTTTATAATACAGCAACAGTTATATTAGTACCATGATGTTGTATTATGGTTTTATTCTTTATCTGCATTTATAAGCAGACCAGACATACAGAGCAGTCCATAAAATATTGTCCAGTGACACAGTTTTGGTTGTTTTTGTTATGTGCTCATGCACCGTATTTGAAGTGAAAGAGTGACTATGAAGTTAAAGTGCAGACTATCCTGTTTCTATTGTAAAGGTACACATCAAGAGAACTGAATCACAAAATCATTTTTAACCAAATGCCTCAGAAGTCAATAGAAGCCCTTCACCTTATCACAAGAAACATAGTTGATAGGCTGTTCATTTCTCTAGTTACATACAGAAATCCATAATGGGGTGCTGTTTATAAAAGTGACTTTGGTTTCTATATATTTTACTCTGCATAGATGTAAATACCATCAACTGAAAGCTCACAATATGTTCTTTAATTTTAGTGTTTTGTATCATATCTAATTTGCTGGAATGTAGAACCAAAAATAAGAACATTTCTTTACATTCTTCAATATATGATTACTTTTACCCCGTTGACTCTTTCCTTCTGTTCAGTTACTTATAGAGTTATACACTCTATATTGAAGAATAAAGAAAAATTGACTGATGCCATATAAATTTAGTTTGGTGAATAATCAAATTTACCCCAAATGCAATCAGTCAGCCAAGATTTGTTAAGCGCTAACAGCATTCAGGCTTCAAAGTGGCTGCTTCTGTTTTTATAGATGACAGTATTTCATAGAAGCAAGCATGTTTGAGATTCCTGAATGACTTGATGCGATTTGAGGCGAGTGTTTGATGATTTAGGCATGACATTTGCACAATGCTAATTTGAGGGGTATACGCTTCACCTGCTTCCTAGCTATGTTAGCCTTGAAGCTAGATTCAGAACTTGAAACACATAACAAGCAATATACCTCTTCAGACTGCTGACATCTCTTGGTTGATCAACTACATTTAAAGAAAAGAAAAAGCTGTTTAAACTGATGAACCTAAGTTTTGAATGCTTTACATGCAAACTGCTTTACTTACCTACTTTAGATGCTTGTTGTGCGTTAACTTAGATTCATACAGTGTAAAATGGTTGAGATTCTCTAGCTGATTGAGTCTAGACATGAATCATAGGGGAACTTGTGTAACCTGTCAATTTTTTAAAAAGTCAGTTTTTTTTTTTAACATACATTTTCATGTTTGTTTTCTCACGTAGGAGCTGGCTAGTTGTGGCTGGAACAGGAAAGAGAAACACATCCTGGCACCCAATGTAGTGGCCTTCACACGCAGGTTCAACCAGGTAGGCCAAATCTTTTTAAATACTACCCAGTTGAGCGTGTTTCCATTATACATATACCTTCGGGAGCTTTACAGAGACATTTATTGGACCACCTCTTAAGTTCTGTCAATTCTTTGCAGAGAGTTTTATGCTGTGGGTCAGTAATTGAGGTACATGCTGCGACATGACATGTTTTTCTTTACTTTGCAAACTTCTGTTTTGCACTATATTTGTTCCAAAGCCTTCCACATTAAAATACCCTGCAAATTGAAAGCAGCAATTATTTGCTGTAGGCTTCATGTTCAGGAGAACTGATGATAAGACTAAGAGCTCTTGTGTAATGGAACACTTCTGCTGTGACCCGCTCTTGTTTTCACTTCATTGGGCATAATTTAAACCACTCTTTCTGCCTGAGCTGTTTCAAAGCTGAGAAACTGCAAATGAGTCTTCATTACCAGCCGCTGCTGACGTTTTGGATGCTGGATAGAAGATAATTTTCCTATGGAGGCTCCCCAGTGCCAGGAAATAACAATGATTTGTATGCATGGCTTTTGCCTGGCTGTTCTGACATGCTTTGGTAGTGCGGTGGGCCACTAGCTCATGTGTGTTTTCAAATCCAGGTAAGGTGGCCCCTAAGTGGTCTCTTAAACTGGCTGAAAGTACCCTGGGGACTTTATCAGCATGTCAGTTAGCCACAGTTTGATTTGAGGACATACACTGATTTGCCAGTTTATTAGGCATGTTGTACCTGTTCACATTCTATGAAATTTATGGGAAATATAGAAGAACTAGATAAACCTTCATACAGGTTGCTACTGAAGTTACAAGTTTGATGATTCTAATGCTGTCTGTACAGTCATGTGCAAAAGTTTGAACACCCCTGGGCAAATTATATGTTTTGTTGTTTTTGTAAGTGAGAAAAACAACTGGGGTGTCCAATGTAATCTGCAAAGGGCTGGTGTGGCTGCAGGTTTTCACTCCAACAAAGCAGGAGATCATCTGATGAAATGTTTAGAATAAGACAAACTGATTAAACAAAGGGAGTCAGGTGAGCTCCAGCTTGTTTGGAGTGAAAACCTGCAGCCACACCAGCCCTTTGTGGTTAAGATCAGACACCCCTGCTTTACAGGAAGCAAACTTTAATATCTGCAAATTTTATTGCTCAGTTTTTATTTATTTACCAAGCTTAACATATCGCTGTTGTCGGAAGAAAACCTTGTATCTCCAAAATGAAAACCTACTTTACTTTTAATGTAAGTCAATGGAACCAGACTTTTTTTCCAATGAAGTTAAAGTGCAGACTTTAAAAATAAAAAAAACTTTTTTATGGGCTGTTTCTTTTGCTCCATTCATCGTGAAATTAACACACAATGTGAAGAACAACAGTCTTTTCAAATTGTCAAAAACTGAACAACGACAAAAATGGAGATACGAGGTTTTCTTCTAACAGAAGCTATATATAACAAAAAAAAACAAAACAAATAAAAACACATTAAAATATAAAATATGCAATATTTTTTGCACAGGCCAAGTTCAGCAAATACAATGATAACTGAATATAATTTTGTGTTCTCTGTAGAGGATAAATATAAATTCTTAAATACCCACAACAAGACTGCAGGTAAAATATGTTTTATTTGTTTTTGTTTTTTGTTTTTTTCATGGCGTGGGAACCTTTTATTGCTCTACATTTGGCACGTACTCCACAGAGCTGTTTCTCATTTAGATGCAGGTGGCAGTGTTAATATACACAGCTGAGGGAGAAATGACGAAGTGCATGTAATGATTTGAAACTGGGCATTTGACCAAATTAATGTACAGTAAGCCGTAATTTAATAGTACCCAAATGTCTTTTTAAACGAAAGGCAGTTATTCAACTTCAACTTTGTATATATGATGTTTAAAACATTTCAAAGTTGTGTTAACTCAGTTGTCTCCAATCCCAGAGCTGGTAAAGCCATCTGAAGGCAAACTCTGGACTTCAGATTCACCACAATGAGGAGGATTTGTTTGTAATTTTCATCCAAGGCGTAGCTTGAGAGCAAACTTGAATGGGCTGTTACACTTTTTGTCTTTTTTCTTCTTCCCTGAAGCATGAATTCTGCTTGCTAAGAAGGTTTTCATGTTCATAATGCAGAATTCCCTCACTCTTGGCTGTCGCTGTCTTTGTTTTTTATGACATCATTAAGCTTAACATGATGAGCTGGCATCTGGGCCTCGGAAAGATGGCCTGCAGTTTTATAGAGGCGCTCTAGGCTCTCATGTCCAGCCCACACAAGAGCCTGTTTGCGTGAGAGCTCCTGTACAGTATCATATCCCATACAGTAAACTTCTTACCACCTGCTTAACTCCCCTAGGCATACCTCTTCTACGTTCACAGAACTCTGTATAAACAGGTAAATAATGACCAGTTTCTGTGACCAGTTTTTGTACCTTCTGCCACTATGCCACTTCATAACTTCAGAGCGTTGTTGACAATCCCCAATTATAGTGATACCAGTGCTCTTAATTGGCTGGAAATGTTCTAGCGTCATTATTTAAATGAATAATAATTTGCTGAAATGAAATAATCAAGAAAAAGTCTCACATACTACATGCTTGCTTTTCATTTCGACACTCATGTCAACAAGTTAGAGTGTTCACACAGCTTGTGCGAGCAGTGTGGCAGCATGGCATAGAGCAAATTGGGCATCAAGCCTATTTTTTTGCAACATGCAGGAAAATAAACTATGACAACCAATGAAAATGAATATGGTTGGATCCTTTATTGATTTGTTCAGTGATTTCTAACAGCCATGAAAAGTAGAATTAATCTTTTTTTCTTTCCACTATATAAGTCTAAAGGTGGGCAATATGACAGTATTTATTGCTATCTTGATAAATTACATCACGTCACAGCATGTCGTAGATGGCTGGTGCTTGTTTTATTAAAAAGGCAGCACAATTAGTCCTGAAAAGGCACAGCAATTAGATTTAAAACTTTGACCACAAAGACAAAAATGGACCATTGGCTCCCTACCTGATGGCAATGGTCAAAACTCGATCTGTACCTTGAACCCTTCGAGCTTCAAATACACCTCGGCTTGACCTGCCATCCTTCAAGATCCATGGAAGACAAGCATCAAGACTCCTTCTGTCTTGGCACCCAGGCACCTCCACTGTCTTCAAACATTGAATAAAGACCCATCACTTTGTGAAGTACTTAAGAGAAAACTAATCAAGCACTTATTGAAATGCATTGTATTGCACTTACTCTATACCTTAATTCTGTATCTTTCTCTCCAGGTATCAGCATAGGCTTTCAGTTCTGGTAGTCTTTTAGCTTAAGGGTAGTTTGTACTGTAGTTTGTATTGTAGTTTGTTGCTGTGGATAAGAACTTAAATAAATGTAATTGTAACATAATTGTAACATAAATGTAAATGTAATTGTATTTATTGCAGCCTAGTATGTGAAGTGAATAATCAAATGTGGCACTGCCTTGTCTGTTCCAACTCATCAGATGTCAGAAAATGTAAATAATGTGATATATCATGCATTGTGAAAACTGAAGTATCGCGATATGACATTTACATGATTGTTCTGATCTGCATATACATCTAAAGCTCGAGATCTGGTTTTACTTCATTTATGCATTCAGCAAAATGACAAAGAGGAAGACAAAAAAGACAAAGGGGAAGAAAACAAGGAGTAGTCAAGACAACAACAACAACAAAGAAAAGAATTTTTTCTCTTAGCCAATGTGGCTCAAAGACACAGGCCATTCTGCTAAAAACAAAAATTCAAGACCAACTCACAGCTTGAACGCTATAAAGCGGACTCTGTGTGTGTGTGTGTGTGTGTGTGTGTGTGTGTGTGTGTGTGTGTGTGTACATGTGAGTCTCTGTTTAATTTCCTGCTTAAAACTCAGAGCAATTAATTGGCATGGGCTCTGAAGTGATGACAGCATTAGTGTTAATGTGTATGTTGCTTTTTAATTTAATTTCCTTTCCTTTTTTTTCCAACTCATTATGAAATGGCTTTAAGGCTATGTTGCTTTGTTGGGGCAAATGAATGCTGTTGCAAAAATACCCATTGTTTTGAATAATGATTTAAACATTTCTATTTACTGATGATTTTGAAAGCCTTAAAAACAATAGAAAAACAAGTAAAAGCATCAAAACAGAAATTCTAAAATCATGGCCTTTATAAAGCTAAATACAAGTTAACACTTTGTGCTGTGTTCACATACTTTGGTGCGTCTACAGACTTGAAAGTGGTTCAAGTTAGAAAACTGCAAGTGGTAAACAAATGCTTCATGCTCTTTCATTGATGAACTTTATATTCAACAAAGTAAGGTAACTGATTCAGTTAGAAGCAGGGATGGGTGATGCCACTAATTTACTTTTTGACTCGATACCAAGTCATACCAAGGCTGATATCCCTATACCAGTACTGATAGCTGTGATTTTAAAAAGGGGAATTGTTTGTGATTTCTACAGTAAAAACCAGTGTAATAAAAGTAGTATTAGTATACTACTAGTATTAGTATTAAATAAACTACCACACAGACTGCCTAATTAGGGAAATAATCCCAATTCTACCATCATAGAGCATTCACTGCTTGTCCCATGCGGCTACCTGTGCCTGTGTGGTTGTGAGAAGCAGAGGGAGAGCACGAAAGGAAAAGTATGATCATTTGTTTTACATTTCCACCATTACTATAATAATACTGATGTATATTCAGTTTACTACTTAAAGTGGGCCAAATAAGAAAATATCAGGTTCAGTGAGCTCTTTGCCGTTCGCACCATCATTAAAACTCTTAAAAACACAATCTGTCACAAATGAACAGAAAAGTCAGATTTGATCCACCTTTACCTGCAGTGTAGGTAGTGTCGTATCTGTGGGTTGCTCTTTTTGTCTTTGGAAAATGTATCATCTTAGACCTACTTTCTTGAGTGCTAGGCCCATGTTGTCTTCATGTTTCCATGCCAACCAGACTCGATACGATGTGTAAATGAGTTGGAAATGTGCTGTTGAT